TACTTAGATACCCAAGTCCTGTCAGTGCCAAAGCCTAATCCATCATGATTTCTATGTCTATATGGAGCCTACCACAATGTGACCAAGAGATAACATCTTACATGAATAGCGTTATCATCAGCATAAATGTTCTATAATATTTTGACATGAGTCACAAATAAAAATGAGTCTGATGGTTTAGCCCTAAATTATAACAATATCATAGAAGCATAGAAAATTAGCACTGGAAGGGACATCAGGAGGTCATCTAGTCCAGGGGTTCCCAAACTCTGGGCTGTGGCCCAGTGCCAGGCCATGAAGGGTTGACTGCCAGTCTGCAGGAGGGCTGGCTGCTGGACCAGAAGTGACCACACACCAGCTAACTGCGAACTGGAAGTGACAAGCATACTGCAGACCAGCAGTATGGCGGTCACCGCTGGTCCACAGTTTGCCAGTCCACGGTCACTCCCGGTCTGCGGCTTGCCGGTCCTCATCCTAAAAAGGTTGGGAACCCCTGATCTACTCCAACCCCCTGCTCAAAGCAGGACCATCCCCAGGACCAAATCCTCCACCCATCATGATGTGGTAGAATTCGGAATAACTGGCAGTCTTTACTCAGAAAGGGCTAAGTCCAGCAAGGGAGTAAAAAGAAAGTTAAACTGTCAGTAGGTGTCCTTGACAGGGCGTGGTGTTACTAAAGCGATTTTAAAAAAATGGAGAAAATTTGCAGCCAAAGGTGTTACTGTGCTTGTCGAACAAGAATTGCCAGAAGTTGTCTGGCCATGTGACTACTCCTGCTCCAGTAGCATGAAGCACAAGCAGATGGGGGCAAGCACTTCAGGTCAGCAGGCCAGGAGGAACATTATGCCCAGCAGAAACCATGAGGCACAAAGCAGATGGCTAAGAAAAAGAACGCATTACAGAAGCATTCAGAGACAGATCAGTAAGCGAATGCGTCAGCTAACAGTTTCTTCCACATGCAGACTTTAAGCCACTACTCCAGAGTTAGTAGAAGAGACTACTAGAAATAACTAAAGGGACTCTTTGGAGTCACTAGACAATGTGTAGGCAATTATACGCTGCTCCGGGTGGTACCATAGTCCCTTGCAAGTACTCCATTCAGTGTGGGCATAGAGTTTGCTCAAATTGTTTAACACCATGTACTTTCCTGTGAATTTTGCTGAGCCTCTTTGTAGTAAGGAACTCCAGAATGCAGAACATCCGCGTTGTGACAAGTGCAGTGTTTAGCAAACGCAGGACTGAAACCAGCCCGTGTTCTCAGCCAGGACAATAGGTGAGTAAAATACACAGGAGACCTTGCCCAATAACTGCCTGTACTCCAAGGATATGTCTACATGACAGTATATTGTGCTAGATATGTAGTTCAGCCCAATGCCAAGAACCCCTCACTGTACAGAGCATTAAATTCACATAGTTCTCATTTTTTTCCTTAAGTACTTCATGACAGTACATTAAAAATGTGAATATTTAAAGGTGAATAACTTCTGACAACAACCCATACACAACATGGGATCAATTTCCTAATTATGTATATATAAAATAATTTTCCCCTCAGCAAGAAAACAAATTAATGAGCTGAGTACAGCCATAATAATGCCACCACCTCCCGGACACCTATGTTTAATGAAGTCAGAACACCAGAATAAGAGAGGTTTGCAATAATAGTTTTCAGGAAGTATAAACTCCAATTCCTTCCACTTTCAGTCTTTCTGCCATGGTTAACAGTTACTGTACTTAAAGCCAAAGCTGCCCCGAAGGAGAACAAGAGCTGGAACTGCCAGCACACGGGCTTAGATAGCCAGTTAATAATTTAGTGGCAGCAAGTTATCAGGCTATTCCAGTACACATTCCTCCCTCTGCCCACAGAAATGTCTTCTTTGTGAGGGAATTTCTTTGGGAGACTTCAGCTAGAGAAGAGGAGCAGACCGTTCTGTCTGCAAGCAAATGCACATTCCAGACTCCAGGAATGAATCTGGATACAGTGGAGAATTTCTCTCAAAATTAATGGTGGTTACATTTTTTTTAGGACATTAAATCTTTTATGCAGCCCTGAAAAGGTCGCTTTTTTGCTACATTGTTGCATTTTATTTATTATCTCTCATTTGAAACTAATCTAGTATGTAACTGTGTATATCCATTAAGTATGCTTTTTAAAATACATACAAAGAAAAAAACTGAAAATTAATATATTCATGATCCACAACTTTAGATGGAGTGAACTAAAAATGTGCTCCAAAGTTGAACAACACAATCTGGATATCACTTGGTTGAAGGAAAAAACAAGGTGCTCCTTAACAGCGTGCGTCTATGTGTATCCTCATTTCCTATTAATTATTTATTAAATTATTCAGGTCGGCATAAATGCAATGCATATTTATAAAATAGCATATTCTTTATTTTCCTTTAAGAGGGTGTCCAAGTCAAATGGAATTTAATCATGTGTTCAAAAATATAAATGTTACAAACCCAAATAGGTCACTTTGAACACTTAAGGTTCTCCTTTCTGATTAACCTCTCATAACTACTAGTTTACCTAGTGAGATTGCAGAATCACCACCACTGCAAGTTAAGTGTAGGTTAGAAAAACATTTGCCTGGGATGGTTTAGAGAGACATGATTCTGCCTTGAGCGGAGGGTTAGACTAGATGACCTGTTGAGATCCCTTTCAGCCCTATTTTTCTGTGAGTCTATGGTTGGATACAGAAGGTAGAAAAGAGCCTAAAGTAACTTCCTACCTCTATTCTTATGTCCTAATGTTTTGATCTCCTGGTTTTCAGATTGCACCTGTGATTACAGTACAAACTCCCATGATCCCTGACTTCTTTAGAGCTATACACTGTACACACAAATGCATGTACTTTGCAACTTAAAACAACAAGCAGGGGATAACTGTCCTATACTATTCCCCACAAGTACACATGCATCCAAAATGGGAAGAGGTTCGCAACATCCTACCACACCACTTATTAAAATCTCTGAAGCCCATAACCCGCCTAATTCAGATAACCACCTATTGGAAGAGTTCAGAGACACATAGTAGCCAAGATTCACCCCTAATATCAGAAACACATTTTATATAACTAACAAACTGGGATACATATTTGCTATGACTCCACAAGCAAACTGCACAACTGAAACACTAGCCTTACTGATCTCAGTCTCTACTTTATGAACTCAAGCAAGTTATATCACCTTGCACAAACTAGACACGAGGACCCGGCTTCATAGAACACAAAAGACTGGGCACTACAATGGCGGCATGGTTGAGGTGGGTTATGGAGTATTACCCTTGAATTTCCAGATTTCTTAAATGAATTTTCTGAAGTACATTTTATTCCCTAAAGGTTCTTCTCCTGAGTAACAGAATATTTTGACTCTAAAGATAACCCAGAAAAAGAAAAAAAATGCATTTGTGCCTTTTCTCTCTGCTAAACAAAAGACCTAAAATTATTTTTATCAAGGGAAAAATAGCTGAATTCAGCTTGATTTTTTTATTGAAAATTCAAGTCTTGTCTATCCCAGAATACTTTATAGTGATTGAAACAGGAAATTATGTCATAAGACAAAAAGACTGAGAAAGACTGCAACTGAAAGACGAAGATTTGTATGCAGACTGCCTACAGCACTTTGACCAAGATGTGCAAGGATGACTAAAGATGTTGGCTGCCCAGATTGAGTCACCTTGAAGAGAATTGAAGACAATTCTGAAGCTCCCTGTGGAATCAAAGTGACTTCAAGGTGTATCTAGCTGGGAACCCAAAAACTGAGGCATCTGAAAATCTCTATTCCTGTTATTTCTGCCCCTCCCCCCCCCCGCCAAATATGGACCTAAGCTTTTCTTGACACTTCTATCTCCAGTGCCTAAATAATACCTATTTGAAATAAAGCTTTTGTTAAAACATTCAATGTTGCATCTGTTCATTTCTTGCAGCATCCTGCAACATTCAAGAGTTTCTTCAGTAAAACTAAGGTAGATAAACTTGATATTCTCGTATTCCTAAGAGTAAAGAAACAACCAAAACCACTTTCCAGGTATCTTCCCACCTCATAAGCAAAATAATGACATTTTCAGTGCCTTTGAAGGTTACTTTGCATTGGGTGCATCTACACAAAATGCTATTGTGCAGTGGTTACTGCATGTTTATTTAGTACTCATATAAGTAAGTACTAAAATAAATGTGCAGTAACCACAGCTACTGAGTAGTAATATCTGTGAATGCTTTTTAAGTGATACTACTGTGCAGTAGCCTAAAACTACTGCACAGTAGCATCTCGGCATAGTTTTTGACACATGACACTACCATGCAGTAGTATCAGGCTACTGCATAGTCAGCATCTCATGTAGATGTGCCCATTTAGAAGCAATAAACTCTTTTATGTGAAAAGTATTCATTAAATTTACCATATTAAAATGATAACTAATTTTTACAAATTGTATCAGTTTGAAATCATACCATACAACACCAGTTTAAAACAGTGGTTTGGAAAAATGATATTATTATCAACTAAATAGGCTGAGCTTCTGCAGGTATATGTTCGTGCTTAACTCGTGGACACAAGTCCTCCTAAAGTCTCTGTTCTTATTCACACCAAGACGCGTCTACACTGCCTCTCTGGGGCTTCCAACTCTCTAAAGTGGCAGCAAGTCTCTGAGCGTGATTGCAGCACTCTCAGGCATGCTTCCTGGCATGCTCTGGGCTGCTCCAGGCCAGCTGCAGTGCACACTGAGGAGGAACACACAAACAGGACACACTTCTCAAGAGCAGACCACCCCAGGCTTACCACAGAGGCAGTTTATATGTCCTATAAAGCGTCTCTACCACCAATGGAAGTCAGACCAGATGTGACTACTTGCACATTCAAGTCCTTGCCAGATTGGGACTTCGCAGACACCATGTCAGATCTGGCGCAGTCTTAATATGATAGAATTCATAGTAGCCTACTGATATACATACTATAGTGCTTGTGAACTACTTATATATTTTATACAAAATATTTACCATAGTTTCTGATTTCACTGCGAGAGTTGAAGGCACTCAGTAAATTATTGTCAGTGACTCCATACCAGTTATCTGCCTGCAAGATAAAGCAGTGGGTTGTTTATGTCAGTTACTAAAATGGCACTACTGCATTCCTTTTTTCAGATAAAAAAGTGTGAGGACATTGATTTATCATGTTAGCTACATGTTTCTTTGAACATACCACTACTTTAAAGTAAACACCAGTGGTAGTTTCTTAAGATAACTAAAAGCAAAAACACATCTCACCAAACAAATCTGTATGATGGGAATAGTCTTTGATTCACTACCATAATTAGAAACAGACACTGAAGTCAAAGTACTAAAAGAGCATCAGTCATTTCAAATCAAATTAACTGTTTGATTAATCAAACACCAAGACTGTCAGTCAGATAATACATTCAGTGCCTTTGTTCAATCACCAAAAAAGGTTTCCTCTTTAAATGCCCTAGATTTTAATCAACCACCCAAAATTAACAAGATTAAGAGGAGTTAAAAAAAAAAAAACCACAACCACCACCAAAACTCCTGTAGCTAATCAGCCAAGTGAAAAGGTTGATGTATTGTTTTACTAGCAACAAAACTTTTCTTTAGTCGTGTTCTTCAGAATTAGGACCAGATTTTGCCTAGTTTGTATTAGTTGCCCAGCAAACACTGGAAAAGTACAGAGATATTTCCCCATCCCATTTCCCTACATAAGACACAAGCAGAAAAGGGTAGTGACCGGTTTGTATTTCCTCCTCTTGTGTCCTGTAGAACCATGGGTCCCTTCTCATCCAAGGGAATCTAAAGGTATGAAAAAAATATCAGTTCCTTCCTCAGTCAGTTTTCAAAGGTGCTAAGCAACCACATCTCCCATTTAATTTGTGCTTCAGATGCTTCATACCTTTGTGATCAGTTCATACATGTCTGCAGTTAAATTGAATCCCTCCTCCCTCTTCTTCCTCATGAAGTGCTTTCAGGAGACAATTTTCATTTTCCAGAATAAAGCAGGGACTTTGGGAGCCCCCTGCTATGCCAC